ATCTGGCAAGTTTCATAATTTCAGCACTTTCACATTTCATTAGCACTGATATCAACATATGTAACACACTAATATCATATGAAACAGTGATGTTAATGCCTAACAACAATGAAATCAACCTGTGACTGATAGTGATGTGTAACATCCTTTTATTAATTTGTAATATCTTTCCACTAACAGATTAAGCACTGATAGTAAAGGGTAAAACACCGATATTAACAGGTCAAATGCTGATATTAATGGGTCAAACACTGAGCAGTGTGGAACACTGACGTTACAAAATGATCAGAGGATTAGATAGGGTGGACAGTGGGAGCCTTTTTCCTCAGATGGTGATGGCTAGCAAGAGGGGACATAGCTTTAAATTGAGGGGTGATAGATATAGGACAGATGTCAGAGGTAGGTTCTTTACTCAGAGAGTAGTAAGGGCGTGGAATGCCCTGCCTGCAAAAATAGTAGACTCGCCAACTTTAAGGGCATTTAAATGGTCATTGGATAAACATATGGATGATAATGGAATAATTTAGGTTAGATGGGCTTCAGATTGGTTTCACAGGTCGGCGCAACATCGAGGGCCGAAGGGCCTGTACTGCGCTGTAATGTTCTATGTTCTATGTTACTGTGGAACACTGACATTAGTGTGGGATACTAACGTTACTGTGGAACACCGACATTAATGTGGGATACCTACATTACTGTGGAACACTGACATTAGTATGGGATACTAACGTTAGTGTGGAACACTGACATTAGTGTGAGATACTAACGTTACTGTGGAACGCTGACATTAGTGTGAGATACTAACGTTACTGTGGAACGCTGACATTAGTGTGGGATACTAACGTTACTGTGGAACGCTGACATTAGTGTGGGATACTAACGTTAGTGTGGAACGCTGACATTAGTGTGGGATACTAACGTTACTGTGGAACACTGACATTAGTGTGGGATACTAACGTTACTGTGGAACACCGACGTTACTGTGGGATACTAACGTTACCGTGGCACACTGACATTAATATGTAACACTGACATTCATGTGTCGATATTAGTATTAATGGATCAAACATTTGTTATGAATAAATAGGAGATATGTTTCTGTAAATATAACTAGTTTTGCCAAGGCCTGGCTGTGTTCTGCGTGCATGACCTTCAACACCAACATTAATTTACATCATGCCTTTAGATATTAAAACAACCTAAATTGCTTCACAGGTGTGTTACCATTCCAAACTAAGTCAGACCGGGAGGCAATGACCTAGTGGTATTATTATTGGACTGGTAATCCAGAGACCCAGGTAATGTTCCGGGGATCCAAGTTCAAATCCGAACATGGTTGACGTTGAAATTTGAATTCAATGAAAATTCGGAATTAACAGTCTAATGATGACTGTGAATCCATTGTCAATAGTCAGGAAAAAGCCATCTGGTTCACTAATGTCCTTTAGGGAAGGAAACGGCTGTCCTTTGGAGATAGTAAGAACTGCCGATTCTGGAGTCAAAGTCAATACAGTGTGGAGCTGGAGGAACACAGCAGGTCAGGCAGCATCAGGGGAGCAGGAAAGTTGATATTTCGGGTCAGGACCCTTCATCAGGACTGCATGTGATTCCAGATCCATAGCAATGTGGTTCACTCTTAACTGGCCTCTGGGCAATTAGGGATGGGCAAAAAATGCTGCCTAACCAGTGACACCTTCAAGTGGCAAGCTGACCTTCGTGTGGAGCACTGACATTAGCAATAATGCAGTGAAAAAAACTGGGGGAAGTGCGCAGGAGGAGTGCAGAGATCTCAGAGGACTGTAGGTGCTTGAGGAGGAACAGAGGGGTGGGCCATGGAGAGATTTGTAAACAATGCTGGATCAGGAGCTAGTATAGCTTGGTGAGCAGAGGGCTGACTCAATTGAAATGAACTTGGAGAGTGTTAGCAATACAGGCAGCTGGGTTCCAGAAGAACTCGGTTTAGAAATGCCTCGACCTTGACTGGTCATGACAGCATTGTCACAATCAGGTCTGGGTTGTGGGTTTCAGCAGCTGGGTGAGTCAAACCCAGCAATGTGATACAGGTAGTCTTTGTAATGGAGCAGATGTTAGATTGGTAGCTGATGTGAAGGATGCAAACTGGTGCAGCCAGAGGCTGTGTACAGGTGGTGAAAGGGAATCAACAGATAGGGAAGTGGAGATAGGGATAGATAGGGTGTTTTGTTGAGCTTGTCAACACATACTAATTTTATATTTCATTTGAAGGCATGTTCTAGGGTTAGGCATGGCTTGTAGAGAATGAATTGTGAAAGTAAGCGAAATATTCTCAAAAGTAAAGTCAAAATATTGTGGTTGCTGGAAATCTAAAATACAAACACAAAGGGCTAGACACTGTTAGCAATGTGATCTTCTTCAGAAGAAGAATCAGGTTGGAATCTATGTTTATTATATTTCTCTCTTCATAATTGCTTCACTTCACCTCCATCTGCTCCCCCTCCCTCTCCTTTTTACCCAGACCTCTTCCAGTATTCCTCCTCCACCCTGCCTCCTCCACCCACCTCTACATTCCGTGCTGTTAGCTGTTTCTCTCCAGTTGGACTGTGACCTGGCTCTATGCACTTGCAGTCTGGAATCTTGCTGACTCAGTCCTTCCTGCTCAGTGCTCAGTGTGTGTTTCTCTGCTGCTGTAATGATTCATGGCTGTTATGTAAAAGCAGAGCCATTGATATCCAGGAGGACGAATGCAGTATTAGCAGCTGCGGTTAGTGACTACCCATCACTGCCAGGAAGTGGGAGCTTCTGAGGGGCCTGGGGGACACACACAGGCACTGTGTCCCTGAGGGGGGCATGGGGTACTCACACAGG